GCTGGGGAGGGTTGGTCCTGTAGTCCACAGTGGACTATGAACGGAGGTCTCCACTCTGTTCACTCCGTAGCCCGCTGTAGTCTGGTTCCCTGACCCCACGTTCCCCTCTGTCTGCCGTGGGACAGCCTGGTTGCCAAATGCCAAGTCTCTTCCTCCTCATCTCACTGACCGCCCCCCCCCCATCGTATTTGGCACTGTTAAGTGCTATCTCCTTCACCGAAGCTCTCCCTTCCTTGCTCACCTGGTTAGTTTTTCTACTTCTCTAGCAATTCTTTCATGCCCTTTGGGCGCCCCGTCCTCTGCCTGGCTGCTTCTTAAATCACCGTCCCCGGGGGCCTGACTCCACTCTCCCCTTCTCTGACTGCATTTCTTCTGTTCCAAATCCAGGCCTCAGCTCCCACCTGCTCACTCACCACCTCTCCCGGCCCCAGATTAGGTGTCCGGCTGCTGCCTGCTTGGCTGTTCCAGAAGCATGTCACATCTGAGGCGACTGTCCTGTCCTTATCCTTTGGCGGGCCTTTCATCAGAGGACAGCATGCCCATCCACTCCAAACACCTGTGGGGGCTGTAGCCTCCTCTTTGTGCCCAGGGCTGCGTTGTGTCGTGTTCACCTGTCAGTCCTACCCCGTCTACCCAGTGTTGCTGGGCTGTCCGCTCTGGAGAGGCTTCGGCACCACCTCACTGCTGTTCTGGTCAGTGTGTACTTCACAAGTGCCCGGTGAGTCTGAGCACCTGCCGGGCTTGGCGGGCCCCCTTCTGGTCCTTCTTTGCCTCTCCACCTCTACTGTGACTGTCGGTCCCCACCTCCTCCCACTTCCCGCACCACCCCCAGACTGCCGTTGTTGGCTAGCTGGCCTTTTTGTCTTCACCCTTCTAACTCATCCTTCACATTGCTAGTTAGAGGCCTTATTCCTAAAATGTAAATAGGGCCGTGTCATTTTCCAGCTTAAAATCCTTTAGTGATTCTTCATCATTTTCAGGATAAAATAAAACTCCTGAGTTTGGCATAGAAAGTCTTTATTCCACCCTTGCTACCTGCTCCATGCCTTCATCCATAGACTCTCTGTGTACCTGTCATTTTGAACTATTTATATTCCCTCTTCTCTCCGGACCTTTGAACAAGACATTCCCCCTTGCTGAGATTCTCTTTTCTATTTTCTTCCTGGCTAGCTTATCCTTTACACGAAATCATTATTACCTTCTCTCGGTAGGCTTCTCTGGAAGGCCTGGGTCAGACACAGGGAGTGGGAGAGGAAGAGAAGGAAGGGAAATGAATCAGTGAAGATGATTTGGGTTGTTTTCCCTCTCGTTCTCAATATTGTGACTGCACAAGGCTTCGTCCCCCCCCCCTTCTATCTCCCTTTGTCTTGGTCTTGATGGGCTTCTTTCCCCCTCTTTCTATAGCCAGCAAAGAGAAGAGAATAAGGTGTGGACACATCACTCAGAAATGTTTGAGCAATGAATGGATTTAGGTTCTCATGGTAAAATGGAAGATTGGCATCTCGCCTTATCCGCAAACAGCTCAAGTGCTGCTGTGTTTAAAGATACGGCACAGTGGTACAAGGCACTAAATCCCAGGGTCAGTGCATTATCTCTTTCTTAAAATATGTAGTAATAGGGCGCCTGGGTGGCTCAGTTGGTTAAGCGACTGCCTTCGGCTCAGGTCATGATCCTGGAGTCCCGGGATCGAGTCCCACATCGGGCTCCCTGCTCAGCAGGGAGTCTGCTTCTCCCTCTGACCCTCTTCCCTCTCGTGCTCTCTATCTCTCATTCTCTCTCTCTCAAATAAATAAATAAAATCTTTAAAAAAAAAATGTAGTAATAAATGAAACAGTCTGGTAGAGTCAAGGTCATTGCTAAAGACAGAAATCAAGGCTTCTTACACTTGTGCCACAGGATCTGGACTTCCTATTCAGGGGCTCACTCTAAAGGGAACATGGATAGAAGCAAGAAACGAATCACAGGTAAAAATAGTAAGGGACAAGAGTATGTCCTAAAGAAGTGATGAGGTTTTGGAATAGCAACCTATAAAATCATTACCTAGAGACAAATTCTGGAGCATCTAAAGTGAGAGGTATCCTTAAGACCTTAAAGATCCTTAAACAGCTGGGGTAAGTGAAATGGAGCCCAGATGCATAAGGAGCTCTTATTCAAAAGAATGAATTAGATCACAGTCTTACACCAGACAAAAATTAACTCAAGTGGATTAAAGACCTGAAACCATAAAATTCCTAGAAGAAAACACAGGCAGTAAGCTCCTTGACATCAGTCTTAGCAATGTGTTTTTTGGACCTGATTCCAAAGGCAAGGGAAACAAAAGCAAAAATAACCAGACAGGACTACAACAAGCTGAAAAGCTTCTGCACAGTGAGGGAAACCATCAACAAAGTAAAAAGGAGGCAACCTATTGAATTGGAGAAGATATTTGCAAATGACTTATCCCATAAGGGGTTAAATATCCAAAATATATGCAGAACTCCCACAACTCAACAACAAAAAACCCCGAACAACCCAAATTAAAGAATGGGCAGAGGACCTGAATAGACATTTTTCCAAAGAAGATATGCAGATGGCCAATAAGCATATGAAAAGACATTACACATCAGTAATTATCAGGGAAATGCAAATCAAAACCACAATTCGATGTCACATCACACCTGTTAGAATTGCGATTACCAGAAAGATCAGAAATAACAGGTATTGCAAGGCTGTGGGGGAAAGGGAGCCCTCATACACTTGGTAGGAATAGAAGTTGGTGCAGCCACTATGGAAAACAATATGGAGATTCCTCACAAAAGTACCAATAGAACTAACTGTATGATCCAGCAAAGATGATTTGGGTTGTTTTCCCTCTCGTTCTCAATATTGTGACTGCACAAGGCTTCGTCCCCCCCCCCTTCTATCTCCCTTTGTCTTGGTCTTG